CGTCTTGCCGGCGCTTCGCCCTCTTGCCAGCAAGCATGTATTTAGATGAATATGCTTTGGCCATTCTGTTTGTACCGAACTTCTGCTCATGTGTACCTTTTAGGGCGTAGCTATATTTTTGCTTTTTAAGTGCATGGTATCTTTAGGGTGTATGATCAGATGTTTTGTTGATGTTTTGTTGTTCGATTTTGTTGTACGATTTGATATCGATACGTTTTTACGATCGAAAGCGATGCGAACCTCGAAATGTGATGTTAGCCCTGTATGACGACCACGAGACAAACGAATTTTGAATTTTTCACTTTCTACAGGCAGTCGACAATTGTTGCGCATTTCACTCGCTACTTTTGCCTTGTACGATTTAACGAATTCGATTTAGACGAAGGTCTGTGACCGAAATATCATCAATTCATCAATAAATAATCATTTTCATTCATTTGGTCATTTTCCGAGGAGAAGGTCATATATTCTAATGATACTTCTTATGTTATTTTAGATTGTTCACTTCGATGTGACGACGTGTAAATACGTTTGGGTTGCTGCTTTATTGGTACCCGTACCTTATTCCTAAGTTATTCCTAAACAATTTGAATGATTATTGTTTTTGCCCGTTTTTTTTATTTTTACTGATATGACGCAGACTTGAGTGTGTAGGTACTATTTTTTACATCAGCGATTTCTTCTAAGCGCTTTTTGCGAAATAATCGTGCTGTCAGATCAGTCACCAAAAACCATCATTCTTATCTTTCCGTCTCTTTCTCAATCTTCCTGAAGTCTCAGCAGTCCTGCATTTCCCCAACGCTCTTCTCGCCTCTAAGGGCCGCCGCACTGTGCGCAGGGCAGCATCTATATTTGTCCAACATCAACAACACTGTATGCGTCACGACTGTTTACAGTACGCCACCTAGGCAGGTGTGGTCTACAACCATTAACGAGGGCTTGAGGTGTAGTGAGAGAGCCGTTCTCGCCTGATTGCTTTCTACTGAGAGTTCTCCGTTTGTGCTTCAAGTGGCGTTTCATTGAAATTCTGAACGGTAGGGTGGTGCGAGAAGAAGCGCACGCTGAGCCAAGTTTTGGATGGTAGGGGGAGATGTAGGTGTTTGTGATAGTAACGAGCTGTTTGTGTTACGCTAGAACAGTGTTGAATTTTATTTCATGCCCGGGCATTGGGTGGGGCGGGAGAACATCTGCACCTGTGAATGCTAACTTCTGTAGGCTTTGATAGGCATATATTTGTCTGATAAACTAAAAAAAAAACATTTGAACCAATCATTTAGCTTGTGAGTTCAGCGTGCTGACTGCTGAGGTTCTTTGCTGAACAGAGATGATCTCTTTCTAAGGAGGCTATCGATTTTCATTTTTTATTACACTCAGTTTGTCCAATACGTAATTCGCGCTGATAATGAAAGAAGGACATTGTAGCGAATGATGAAGTGACTGTCCTCAATGCATCCGTTAAAGAATTCCAGAGCAATTCCACCAGCCAACCCGCACATTTGTAACCACAACAAACAGACATTGACACATATTTTGTCGCTACACCAACATTGTGCACTGAAACCTCGCCCGTCAACACATAAGCATTCAGTGCACCGTTCCAACATGAAACGCTTCGCTGTTCGCATCCATATCTGCACCGCAACCAAACACTGCGTATTCAGCTTTCATTCAATGCCTCTGAAGCAAATCAGAAAGGGTCTTCAGTGCTGCCCTGTTGGGTATATACCCGATGACCTTTTCGTTCGAGCCCCGCTGAGAGGCAGTGCCGGAATACAATCCCCACAGTAGTTTGAGGTCACACCAGGGTCACTGCCGGTGAATCGGGGTCAACAGAGGTCAATCTGGGCCACCGGGCTGCCTGCTGGTGAGCTGTGCTGTCAATAGACTCCCCACACCTCACTGGCTACCGCACAATAGCACAAAGACACAGTGGGTTACAAAAAGTACCTGCAAAGAATTATCAGTGACTGACGAAACTTACAAAGGCTCTGTTCCACATATCAGTTATTGCATTTACAGCTATATGTTCAAAGTGTATTGGTGATGCTGCTCATTCATATCACGACCGGCTGGTTGCGATTTTTTTTTGTGCTCGGCTAACTTCATTATAAGCCGAGAGAAGAGACGTGCGCACAGCATCTCACATCAAGTAGGCATTTGATTATCAGATGGCTACATTATTATTCCCCTTCTCAATAAAGGTATCATTACACGCCAAAGGGAGCGTCTGATCAGCACCGTAGCCTGTTCGCAGCCGTGTATGAATGGAGATCAACCCTTATATTTTCCGCACCATCAGATCTGAACAGTACCTATCCACCTAATAACACGGGTGCTTCCCTGTGTAGCTCCTACTGGGAGTGAGACTATTAGACTGTTCGCTATTTATATACGACACTGCGCCGTCGCTACAATGCAATGATTCAGATGTTACTATGTCTTCCGCAGTCGGCGTAAATAATGATGCGAATTACATTCTGCCTCTGTGCCCACCCATTAATAGGTAGCTCCACATGTAGGGATATATAGAGCTGATGGGAAAAGATGGGATGGAGTTGTGGGATGGGATGGGATGGGATAGGACATGGGGACATAGGATCAATGATTATGCACCGGTAGCAATGTCTTGGGACTCATTGTGATAGAGTTTTTGCACCCGATGACTAAAACTGGACTCGGGCAAATGAGAGTTCATGCTGCTCGTTTGTGATAAATAGTGAAGCAAGATGGTAACCCCAATGACGGACTTCTGATTGTCACAAAGTGTTAATGACATTATGCACAGGCCGATGGTAAATAAGTGATATTCAACGCGCACAAAGACACATGTCGTTGTTACATTTTTAATGTTTATTACCCCACAAATGGCTAACCAATCTGCTCTTAGTAATACCATCAAACGATGACATAAATTGATGACGCCCTCACTTACGACTAGTGATGTCAATTACGGGGAATCGTGATACCGATACCAAACCAAAAACCAACAATAACCATGTGAAAATACCGAAACCGAACCGTCTTTGGAAATTGAGTAAGATACCAACTTTTTACCAAATTAACAGTCTCTTTTACATTGTTCAGGATTCAGAATACCAACAAAATACCAAATGCTTTTGCCTTGAAATACCAAATACCAAGCTGGTATCGGTTTGGTATCGGTATACCAAAAAGTTGGTATCCGATTGACATCTCTACTTACGACCCAAATGGATCGCACCCAGTCATGACACTCATTGATGACACCGACAACTGACATTCTCTGACACTCACATGACACTGACACTGACCAATGACACCAAATCGTCATTGACGACAACCACTAGCCCTAACGATAACGTCCCAGCTATCCGCCGTCCGCCCGGGCCGCTTAGCCGTCTGATGGACCGCGTTTAAATCCGTACCGCTGCCGTCGTCACAACAATCATCGCCAGTATCACCACCATCGCTTATCTTCGTCGCCTTCGTCGTTGTCGTTACCGTCGTTTTTTGTCTTCGTCGTCTTTAGCGTCGTTACCGACATCGTTACCGTCGTTACCTGCCTCACCATCGATGATCTGTCGTTGTCGCGTCGAGCGTACCCGCCATCCCAGCGGAACGAAGCTCTCTACCAGAACTAGCTTGGCTCGGCGGCAGCGGCGGCGGTGGCGGCGGCGGCGGCGGCCATTAACTCGACTTTGGCACACCGATGCTACTGATGGCGTTAAGTGAACTTATGTATCGACCTCCGACCGATGTGGCGAGGCGTGACCACTATCGATCGACCCTCCCCCCTGAAGAGGGGGGGGGTTGCCACACCTGGCGGTTTGATTGGTCGGTGCATTCAGGTCGTGGGGAGAGAGATGGAGAGGGGAGGAGAGAGAGTTTTGGAGTTATGAGAGGAGCGGGGGCAATGAGCAAGGGAGTAAAGTGAATTCATCATTCATCAATGAAGTGTAGTCCAGCATCATCAGTGAGGTGGCAGTTAGTTCAAATGTGTTGTGATGAATTCGGCATTAATGGCTCAAGCTTTTGCATTGACAGCATCCCCATATCGCTACGCAGGAAGCGGTCATTTTTTTGTTTTATGAAATTTTGCGTAATAATATGAATCTATTAATGCACATGGTTTAGATCGTTTCCATAGAACTCGCTCCAGTTTTTAGTTACAAAGTGTTCTGTTGTATACTCCAGAGTATCCATCACTTACTAATGCAGACTAAGTATATTCTTTTCAAGTCTAGCCGCTTTGCTATTTTTTTTTTAGACAAACTTTTCAGCTATCAGCTATTGGATTTGGCGCGTGCCGCAGGCGGTATCTTCCGGTAAGCCTGTGTTTGACGTATATTGATGATGTTTACTGGCGAATAAATAAGTTCGGTTCTTTTTCAGCGGTTCGTGTATGCTTTCGACAACGATAATAAACGGAGCAGGCTGCATTTTTGACACACAAACCAAATGGGCTGACTTTGCCTCACGTCCGTGTTATCATAAGGTATTTGATGTGTCGTGTCTTGTGCGCGCCGCGTAAACAAATGTCGAGATGAAAACATGGAACGTTTTGAAGGTGATGATTCATTGACGCCTGCGGACAGTCATTAATGTGCTTTTGTGGCACATACATATGCGGTTCCAGTAACCGATGTCAGTCTGTTTCGTGAAACATCTGATATAATTAAAGGCACGGAAGAAATTGCTGCATTTAGTACAATTTGACTTACCTTATTATTACCTTATTTGGAGAATTACCCTTATCCCAACGCATTATGCCGATCGATTATATACTATATAGCTTCCGTCTGTATAATATCTTTTGTCCCAAAAATATCACACTATTGTCATCAACATCTGAGATACAAGAATGGGGATAAACCAAAATCAACAAAACATATGTTAGTGACAAATATTTCTATTCTTCCCCACCGCCACCCACCCCCAACTAAAGACGTGACTTCTAATCTAAACAATCAGCCACGCTATCTTTCTTCCATCTAACGAGTCTCTCAATTTTTCTTTCACAGCTGGAAATCAAGCAGAAGGACGCCAGGATCGCCCAGCTGGAGGTGGAGCTCAGTGAGGCCAACCGACTCGTCTCCAGAAAGGACAATGAGGTGTCCAAACTGCACCGAGAGATACACAAAATTCAGGTGAGCTGTGCTTTCATCAGTGTCAGCCATCATTTTTAGTTTTTACTCCCTTCAATGTCTTGAATCAGATCACTCATGCAATGTTATGACATGGTGACGACATGTTTATCACAAAGAAGATCTTTTCCCATAATTAGTCATCCATTTGTTCAAAGAAAATCCGAAAAGCCTACACCAGTCAAACATTGGTTTTGAAATACACAACCGCTACCATTTATTGATTCAGTATCGTCGGCACGTTACTTCAATATTGACTCACAAGTGTCACATATTGAGTTCTGCATGTGCGATTGCCTGACCGATTTTCATTGGAAACTATACCGCCATTGAGCGACCAGAACCGGGCCGACGCAATAAAGCCGCTCGGCGGGGGCGCAGGTGCACCGGTTGATGGGGCGCGTGAGCTACTAGCGCTGTGAAATTAGTATTTTCAGTGGTCGAGAAATATTGGCTGGAGCTGTTAAAAGCTGGTGAATTGATGAACACCCAGCTTTGAGAGTTTTGTTATAACCAGGTGATCGTTTTTTTTTCGCAGTGTATCATATAATGTTTTGCCTCCAGAAGCAAGACGGCTAGAGTGTCGACTCTGATAATGCATTATTAAGCTGTAGATTGATAAATAAAAACTGGTGACTGTTTTGAACCACTTTTTATCCGACCCCTTGTCTAAAAGTTGTCTATAGGTATAGCACCGCTAAGTCTGGCGATGGTTAATTAGCACCTGCAATCTACATCCTCTCTAGTTTTGACCTATTTTTACTGACTTTTCACGCCTTCACGGAAGGCGCAGGTGTGCATTGCTTTCTTGCCGGATGCGTAAATTAACAATCTGCCCAAATATAGCCCGAGGGATCTCTTGGAGAGCAAACCGGATCTACACTAATGAATGTTCAGCTAATATTAACACAACTCTCAGCTAGATTTGTGCATCCCAACCGATGACTCCACACCAGAACAAATGCATTAGCCGAGCGCGTTTCGAAAATTAGCGTTAACGCAAGACTAGGCGGTGGCCACATTTGAGAGCTGAATTGGGGTATGAGAGGTGTATCAAATTCACGGATATTGCTTTCATTAGGCGCGCCAGTTTATGTCAGTTGCGATATTGTTGTGATTTGCACTTTCTCCACTGGAGTGGCTAGAGTCGGACAGTACGTCTGAGTGGCAATTCCCGAATTTCTCCATTGATTTCCAGACAAGCTGTTACAAGACTGCCGACCAATCGCGAGAAAAATATCTCCATGATACAGGACCCCATCATTGCTTATTGCGCGAGAAACTACACTTTCTAAACTACATCCACATGCCTTCTAAAAATCAACGGAATAAAAACACGAATAACCCCACCATCAACATCCCTTCTCAATAAAAAACTAAATAAAACCAACACCACTAACACCGCCGCATAGCATTGCCATGAGAACCGATAGCTGCCGAGTGTCTGCGCCAGGTCTGCGCCACCTTCGTCTGTGGCGCGTCATTTATTGTCCCTGTGGTCGATTGGCACGCCACAGTAGTCTTCAGGCCTGGGAACGGCCCAGCTGGGGAAGTATTGTGCTACTGGGACTAGTCTCGGAGAAGGGAGAGGGGAAGGGGGCGGGCGAGAGAGGGGAGGGAGCAGCAGAGCACCAATGTATACAAAAACCGAATGAAGTACCTATCCAAATTGCCAGACGAAAGATCGGAGGCACATGTTTCATATAATTGTAACTATTCTTTGGTTTGCACAATGGAAATGTAAACACAAGAAAATGGTATGCATGCACATCTATGTAGTTCTTGTCTCGCGCCCCCCTCGTGACAAATGCAGCCAGTAGCTATATTTTGTTTCTCTACCATGTTACGACTAGCTTCTCTGCGAACGTCATAGATATTTTCAGACATTTTCGGATGTTTTCATTTGCTGGATAACTGGCATCGCCTTGAGCTCAGCAATAATTGGGTAGACTCTCCTCAGCGCTATACGGTGCGCTATAGCGTTACAGGGGAATGACGACAGTAATTTGATTAGAAAGATCACTAGGGCAGAATGCTGCTGTCATCGCGAACGTCACCGTCAGTCGTCAGTCGTCAGTCGTCTGTTGTCGGTCAATCGTCATTCGTCACTCGTCAGTCGTCAGTCAATCGTCAATCGTCATTCGTCACTCGTCAGTCGTCAGTCAATCGTCAATCGTCATTCGTCACTCTTCAGTCGCTGTTCTTTATTATTCAGTTATTATGCGCTATTCTCCATTTACCAGTCTCTATTCGTTGTTTCGCATGTTGCTCTTTATTCATTATTCTATGTTGTTTCGCTCATCAGTCGTAACCGTCAACTGTTTTTACTTATTCATCAGTCGTTGCTCGTTATTTTTATCGCTTTGGTCGTTATTTTTTATTGTTCAATCGCTATTTGTGAGTTATCAGTTTTCATTTGTCAGCAGTCACCTTTACCTTTATCTGCCTGTCCTTTACCTTTACCTGCCTGCCCCCGATATCGTCTATAGCTTATAATGTTTTTTTTTTTGCACAAATACGCCCCAGAATTTCATTAACCATGATACAGTGACACGATTCTGGGAAAGGTTATGTAAAGAATCGGAATATTTTGTCAGGCTTGTTGGCAACTGGTACGGAGCTGAGCAAGATTGTCAAACCATTGCACAATTATTCGTATTTCATGCGCCATCTTTACCAAAATGATCACGATATTCGTGTGGAGCGCATAATTACATATTGTTATATTGGCAAACAGTCCTTCATGTTTATTAGGTGTAACCAAAAGTATGACTGTTCCTAAAATGTTTTATAAAGTTTCTGAATGATTAGGGACTGCGTATAGTAAACAACTGAATAGCAATGAAGATTTCAAATTTAACGGTGAATTTCGGAATGAGGAATGAATTACAAGGTACTCACGCGGTGCCTCTTCGAGTTGCAAGTACTGTCGGCGGCCTCGCTGACTAATGAACTTCATCTTAGCATATAAATATATAACTGCATTCATTTCTGTAATCGCTCAATACCCGGTATTATTACCACTCCTGGAGCTGGCTGGCTGGTCTCTATGTCGTTGATGGGCTCTCTGTGTGTACGACAAGCATTCAGAGAGTCCGAGGACAATCATCACCAGGCCCGAATATTGTCCGCTCTGCCCGCCTCTCTCTCTCTCTCTCTCTCTCTCTCTCTCTCTCTCTCTCTCTCTCTCTCCTCTCTCTCTCTCTCTCTCTCTCTCTCTCTCTCTCTCTCCTATTCTCTCCCCTTTCCCCCTTTCTCTCTCTTCGTCCCTCCCACCCTCTCTCTCTATCCTCCTCTCTCCTCTGTTTTTTTTTTTCTTCTCTCTTTCTATCTATCTATCTACATATCTGTCACTCTCTCTTCATCTTTCTCTCTCCATCTTTCTCTCTCCCTCTCTCTCTCTCTCTCTCTCTATCTATCGATCTATCTATCTATCTAGCTATCTATCTATCTAAATATCTATCTATCTATCTATCTATCTATCTATCTATCACTCACTCACTCACTCTCACTCTCACTCTCACTCTCACTCTCACTCTCACTCTCACTCTCTCTCTCTCTCTCCCTCTCTCTTTTACTCTCTATCTCGCTTTCTCTCTCCTCTCTCTCTCTTTCTCTTCTCTTTCTCCTACTCTCTCCCCTTTTCCCCCTCTCTATCCTTCTCTGTCCTTCTCTTTTTCTATCTCTCTTTCTATCTATCTGTCACTCTCTCTCTCTCTCTCTCTCTCTCTCTCTCTCTCTCTCTCTCTCTCTCTCTCTCTCTCACACACACACCTTCCGCGCCTCACGTTTCACCCCACCACCTAACCTTCCCCTGCGTCAGACGCGGGGGCTACCACCGCGGCCCACACCACCTCCCATTCCCCTCTGCCCCCCCCCCCCTTCCCACCGCGGTCCGTGTTCCAAACGCCGATAGCCGGTGGCTATTTGACCTATCCTCGATAGACTGTATCAGAGCTGCTATCAGCTCATTTGGGCACACGGCAAACAGGTTAGGGCAACGATAAGACCACCGGGGAGGTTGGTGACCAGCTGCTGCCACCGGTTATGGTTATGGTGGTGGTGCTGTTGCTACTGGTTATGCTGCTGCTACGGCTATGGTGCTGGCTAGGCTTATGATACTGCTAGCTGCGGTTATGGCGCTGCTGCTCCTGCTGCTGTTGTCGGCTATGGTTATATTGGTGGTGCTCCTGCCACTGGTTATGGTGAAGATGATGGTGCTGCTCTTGCTGGTGCTGGGGATAGTTATGGTTATGCTGCTGCTGCTGATGCGGCTGCTGCTGCTAATGCTGTTCTGCTATTCACTGGTTATGATGGTGCTGAGCCTGAGGAAAGGCATGAATTATCAAACCAAATAATCAAATTATCGACTTATCGTTCTGTCTTTTGATACCCTGCTTTTGATGCCAATCTTATCTACCCCTCCCCCACTTCCCTGGCTCTCTTTCTCTTCTCCCACACTTTTCCGCTCCTCTGCAAAGCAGAACTACAGCGCCTGGTGCCGACCGAAGTTCAACCCCTCTCGCTCGACAAAGACCGCCGTCCGTCGGCCGGCGCACGCCCGCGCCTCGGCAAGTCGCTGTCACCTGAAGTGGGACCAAGATGGATTGTGGCTACATTTGGACAACCATTTCACAGGCTCCATCTTTCTGGTGGTGCGGTGCGAGGAATGGCTAAAGGTTGACCAGTCAGCTGATGTCAGATTTGCACCGTGCTGTTCACTTTTTGCACGTCGCTATTTCAGTGGGTATATGGAAAATTGAAGGCTGCCTAGGAATAGATGACCTTTGGTGATAGTTGTAAAAGGTACCCGTGCTTAAGCTGAGTAAATTTGGAGAACATAAGTGTTATGAGCATCAGTACTTTATGGAATTAAACTTGGGATTAATGTAATAATGTCATCATGTAATGTCTCACAAGACATTGCTAAAAACCATAAAAGGGGAACACTTTTAGCGTAATGAAACGGTGTCCATTTGATAAATTGTCAACAATATAGCATCAGAGAGGACCGGCATCTTTCACAATAATGTTTTTGTAACGACGAAGAATCTCCGCTTTCTACCATGGCTTGAAAGCAGTGGTCTCGGATTCCGCTCAGCTTTTCCTTGTTTAGTTTTGAGAATGGATCAAAGTTGATTGAATTGCGCTTTAGTTTTTCCAGTGTCTTTTCGCTTCCCGCTTATCCCAGCTAAGACGGAAATTCTCCGTTCATCGTTGAAGACACAAATAGATGACGCTCTCTGCGGGACTCGTCATTAGTTCAGCTCCTCTGCGGCCGCTCCGTCCACTCGGGAGCGCCCCGCGTCTTTTCTCACGTTACGCCTTTCCGTTCTCAGTCTGTGTGACATAGATCGTTTGTCTTCTGGCCTGTACCCTCCTACGGACGATGGCACCGAAATGGAAACGATTACTCGTCCTCTCCAAACTGTCACAAAAAACTGCTTCCGTTCCGGTAAAAATGCCACGTCAGTTCGAGCGTGCTAAATTGGGCACTTCAACTAGGACTTGGTTGGAAAGATGAGTTTTCGATCGTTTTGGCATGACACTGAGCTAGTTCAAATGGGATTTTGTTATGGTTGTCGCCTTTTTCTCATAGTTTTTCATGTCTATGACATACTGGACAATGGACGTTGTCTAGCCGCTAATGGAAACGACGATATTTCCCAGGATGGTATACACTATACATCCTTCTAAAATATTCAGTTTTTTCCTTCCTCTCCGCATTTGCACCTCCTGGGAAAACAGCGATAGAGGATGATATTTTTTCGTTTCCGTATAATTGTATAATGCACATTGAATTATGCGGCGCAATGAAATTAAAGATGAGTTCCTATCACGTAATTAGATAACCGAACCCTGATTCGATGTGCATCATGTCATGTGACGCCAATATATGTCGTCAGAATTATGTTACCAAGAATCCCAGAAAACCAGCATAGCTCTAATTGTATTACAGGAATCATAATAATGGCATGCCATGTTATTTTCAGCAGTACTTGTCTATCTCTTAGTATTGCTGTTGGCTGGTTATTCGACATCATATTTGTTGTAATGCAAATTTTCACCGATTATGTTCTACCTCTACTTGTCCTTGCCGTCGCGTCGTATGAATGCCAATGATCCTGTCCGGGAGCCTACAACTAACAGGGCTAAATTGTAGTTTGTTTTTGTGTTTCACCGTCTTTCTCGATTCTTTCTGTGTCTGAATTGCCCTTTATCTACCGTGCATTTTATTTATATTTGCTTGAAAAAAATATGTCTTCGTTAGCTCATATTTTACTTTCTACTAGGTACTGACAACTATTCAGTACTTCTCGTCAAGTGTCTTCATTTAGCTTTTATTTACCCTGATTTGCGCATGTTTCTGTCATTTATACTCATTCCTCACATCTCACTCATTTACAACCATATTTCTCACCCACTCTTTTTCCTTCCTTTGCAGAGCGTTCTGGCGCAGGCCAGTCCTCCCATGTCGAACGGTGACCTGGCCGGAAAACTACACGGAAACCACCTGACGGTGCACAGCAAGAAACAGGGCGTCTCTGGGGAGAGCAGTCACCTGGACGGAAGGAACATGACCGTCACCGCGCCCAAATTCGAGAAGGACTTCAGGTGGGTAAAGGGGAAGGGGCTGGGGTGTGTGGGGATCGGCTGTGGGGGGAGGGGGCTGGTGGGTGGTTACGGTGAGTGGTGGGAGGGCAGGCCTGTTGATCTGAGTTTGGACATCATGGCTTATACATGACAAGTTCGAATTTTACGAGTTGAATGCAGGTAGAAGAGGAAGTAGACACTTTTGGGTGTTTTGAAAGGCTGGCACATGCCAAATCACTGATGTTTTACGTTCCCGTGAACAAATATTTTGCTGGAAAGAAATAAACCTAAATAAAAAAGTAGGTCAAAGTGTGCCACCCTCTGTCATTTCACATCCGTTCACCTTTACTATGACGTGTTAATTTATCAAATAACTGATGAGCATTCTACTCACTCGGCCACAATGCGAGTGCCGTGATTGATCGCTCTCGACCGTCAATCAGCTGCAATCGGGCGGAACGGGCCATGCGGGTCAGTCTACCTCTCAGGCAGCGACAGGCAGAGACATCTGTCGGGCAGTCGGAGAAACTCGATCAGTTGATTGGCGACGCGGTATCCCCGATCTACGGTCTCGCTTGGATTATCGATATCTTGGATGGCCTACCTTATGGCCTACCTACATGGCCTACCTGGCCTACCTTACGCTCTTTTTGTGCAAGGCTATTTACAACGTCTTACACAGTAGATTGACATTATTTGGACGAAAAATAAACATGCCTTCGACCCCTGTCGTGAGGCTATACCGGTGCCAGGAATGATAAACATAGACGATCTATTCCTTCAACGGACAGCGGCAGACCTAGACGGGCTTGAACAGGAGGAAAACTGAGAGAGCGATTTTTCAGATGCGCTAGTGTATCGCGTTCGTTGAACAGTGGATATGATTCATATCCGGACCCCTTATTGTTTTCCTAATTCCTTGAGCTTACAGCTTACATAATGCATTAATATCTCGACTCTGACATATTGTCCTATGTCGTCTGTTCCATGTTTCTTGCGTACAGCATTCTTATGTAACAAAGTTATCAATATTTTCTCTTTTGACAGTTATCCGATCGTACTGTGTTCACTCTCGTTCAAATTTGACATGCCTTGTGAAGTCAAAACTATTTAGTAAGAGAAGTCCCAATTTCAGCCGGGGGGATCCAGGGCGTCGCAAGTCCATCTACGACACGTCGCAAGTTACGACACATATGCCGTCACAAGTTGTGTCGTAGCGGAAAAGGAGGGATGTTGAGGAAAGAGGGGTTTGTCGGAGGATACGACAGAACGTAGCTGCGACGAGGCTTAAATACCCGCTTTACTCGAGAATTTAAAAGGCTACACGATCAGCTGATCCCGTAGTAAACGTCAGTAAGGTCGAAAACTATCGCGCATAAAGGAACATTCGCCCTTATGGTTTGCGAGCTTATGAGACAGCAAGGTCAAGCATGTTCTCTGATTCTGAAGCTTTGTATTAACTGGGCGACTTGTGGTTGCTAACGCTCGCGTGATTTGCCATAAAATTTGGGATCGATCACAGGAGATTCGTGGCTATAGGGCATCTAGAATCGATGCTTTAGAAGAAATGAGTTCCGAGAGTTTGAGGTCACAGAGAGGTAAGAAATTTGTAGATTAAGGTCACAATTGGAGATTACAGAGGTCATCTGGGACACGTCAGGTCACAGAGGTCAGCTTGGGGTCATCACAGAGCTCAATTGGAGACCACGGAGGTAATCTGAGACACGTCAGGTCACAGAGGGCAACTGGGGGGCACGCCAGGTCACAGAGGTCAACCTAGGGTCATCACAGAGCTCAATTGGAGGTCACGGAGGTCATCTGGGACACATCAAGTCACAGAGGTCAACTTGGGGTTATCACAGAGCTCAATTGAAGGTCATTGGGGCCATCTGGGACACATCAGGTCACAGAGGTCAGCTTCGTGCCATCAGAGAGGTCACTTAGAGGTCACAGAGGTCATATGGGACACGTCAGATCACAGAGGTCAACTAAAGGTCATCAGAGAGCTCAATTGGAGGTCATAAGGGACACGTCAAGGTCACAGAGGTCAGCTTGGAGTCATTAGAGAGCTCAATTGGAGGTCACGGAGGTCATCTCGGACACGTCAGGTAACAGAGGTCAACTTGGGGTCATCACAGAGCTCTATTGGAGGTCATGGGGGTCATTTGGGACACATCAGGTCACAGAGGTCAGCTTGGAGTCATCAGAGAGCTCAATTGGATGTCACGGAGGTCATCTGGGACACGTCAGGTCAAAAAGGTCAACTTGGGGTCATCACAGAGCTTATTGGAGGTCATGGGGGTCATCTGGGACACGTCAGGTCACAGAGGTCAGCCTGGAGTCATCAGAGAGCTCAATTGGATGTCACGGAGGTCATCTGGGACACGTCAGGTCAAAAAGGTCAACTTGGGGTCATCACAGAGCTTATTGGAGGTCATCGGGGTCATCTGGGACACGTCGTTTTTGGAATTGGGAGAATATTTGGGGGGATGCCCCTTGCAACGTCCAAGCCTTTCTGGATTCGCCAGTAGTTGGTGAAATGGTGTTCGGCTACTTCATATCCCCGAATACCCCAATAAATGTGAATATAACATATTATGCACCATTTTCAACACTCTCGCTGGCACGGATTGAGGCCTCATAGACGACCCGTCAGTTCAAGCTCTATAACTCGCGTTAACGACAACGGATTGCAACCAAATTTTCAGGATCATAAGTTTAAACAATTTTACACCTACCATGTAAATTTCGTGACCATGACCCGAATGACCTGTGACCTGTGACCTCTTCCTCAAGGCAAGGTCAACTTGCGACACAACTTACGACTGCTATTTCAAATTCGTAAGTTGTGTCGCAAATCAGGCAATTTGCGATAGACTTTACTACTTAAGTAACGCTACTCATCGATTGATCCCTTCAAAAACGACTTACTACACAACTTGCGACACGTCGTAGCTACGACGAGGCTTACGACGCTCTGGATCCCCCCAGATGTAGTAAAGCAGTACAGAGGCGAGTCCCACGGCTCTGTTCTGCACCTCTGTACAAGCCTCGTGCACTTTGTGTACGGAGCCTCACAAAGGAGGCGCCTGGGGAGACAAATATTTACGGCGAGATGCTGTCGGGTGACCCGTGCCCCGGGGCAGGAGCAGTGGCTGGGGGTGTTTGCCGCTTACTTGACTGGGGGAGGGCGAGCGGGTGGGGCAAGTCTTGCTTCAGTTTATCCAGAACAATTGAATGTTTTTAGTTGTGAGGCTATTCGCTAGAGCAAAACGTTGTTTTAATAGGTCATCATATTTATTCTCTTTTTACGACCTAGAAGTCACGACTCTTCGAGGTTATCAAGCGTAGGTACTCATGCAACGCAAAGCTCTATTTTTCAACGCCTTTATATTTGTTGAAACGTGGATCATAGGTTAGGTAATAGGTAGTATATGTACTACTTTATGTTTCGCTCTAAGAACGCCAGAACCATTCTCGACTGATTGATTCCCACTTTCGTTGCAGGTCAAAACAGCTGATTAAGGAGGCCATCATGGACAATGACTTCCTGAAGAAGCTGGACTCTTCACAGCTCCGTGAGATTGTGGACTCGATGTACCCGAAGAAGTACGCCAACGGTACATTCATCATCCGGGAGGGAGAAGTCGGTAAGTACTGGCATCATTATCGTCATCATCGTTGTCATCATCATCGCCTCGTCGTCGTCGTCGTCATCGTCGTCATCATACTTTAACGTCATTTTTTGTCACTGATAACGTATTCGTCATATGATTTAAGTCCGTAAACTTTCTTTGAAATATAAGCCTTCCCATCAGGCTTCAAACGCATATCATCGAAGTTGCCGCTGTGATATTGCGTTTTAACCCGCGCCCCACTGGGGGGGGGGCTATTTATAGCCCCTCTCCCGTTTTTCTGCAATAACTTCCAAACCGCTTGACGGATCGACGCCAAAAGTACAGTACCTTCGGCTGCATCAATTGACACCTTGTGTCAAAATTGAATTCGTAGCCTAGGGTCGGCCGGAAATGACGTCAGAGTGACGTCCATTTTCGTCCGATTTGACGCAAAACATTGAACCCAGGCAAATCGCTCCAAGAGCTTAGTTTTAAGCTAGATCCAATTTGGATGAGAGGACTTAGAATTGACCGCGCTTTCAAACTGCTATCTCGGATTATCAAAATTTTGAAAATTTTGAAAAATTTATATAATAATATTCAAAAATTGGTTTTTTTTTATTTTTTCAAAAGTTTTGACTTTTCGAAAAAAAACGGAATATATGTGACAGAACGCATGATTATGACTCTAGCAACGTCTTAGCTAAATAGCTTCAAAATGGCCAAGGTATACGCCATTATTGCAAAAAAATTCACAATTAATTTTTGAAGTATTTTTCGTATTTGACATCGTTACACCAATAAATGGTACCATCGTGTTCCTGAGCTCAAACTGCATCCAATAGGCACCTTTTTGTTGAAAAATTTTAACTTCAAAATTGACATTTTGACCTGAAAGTGACCTGACCTAAGCTAAATTCGACTCAAAATGACCTCGGAATGACACAGACGACATTCAAATCGAAGTCTATGGCCTAATGGACCATGAAACATGTGTCACGTGACCGACGCATATTAATAATTTCCGTGACTGTGATGACTGACCTGACCTGAAAATCAAGTACAAGTTTGGTACCTCAAAGTATTAGAGCCATCTGTTCACGAGTGTGGAAACCAAAAATGAGGCCTGATCTGACTTGTAAGACGGCGGCCAGAGCCCAAAATGTGAATAAGTCAAAATGCTAATACTTTTTACTTGACTGACCTGTGACGTCATCGGTGACTCGAGGCAACGAAGTTAGGTTTCGCTCGACAGTTTTCGGGGCTATCAGACGCACGTTTGAATTTTGACGATCGGCCAGTAGTTTCGGAGTTAAAGGGACAGTATCATCGAAAAAAAAAATCAATGTATGGAGTGATTTTTTTTTTACTAGCCATTTCTTTTTTTCTGATACAGAAAAAACATAGTTTGTAGGACCGAACTCGGTGAAAAATATTGCAACCACATTTCTTTTCATGATTCATTTTCATGAGCGAACCACCACTATATAAGCATGGCGCAGTTTGGAGCATGAAAAATTACTACAGAACTGGCGCAGATAATACATTATTGACGCTAACGCTTACGCGGTCGTTCTTCTGATTGAGTGTCTTAGGGAGAGGTCTAGCCTTAGGTATGCCATAAAATATCACGTGACAATTGGAGGGAGTGACAATTGGACGTGACAATTGACAATGGGAGAAATGTCACGTGACAATCACGTGATATAAACGTCATACATTGGACGGAAGATGTGATTCAAGCTGGAGGAATTCCTTTGTTGAGCCGCTAGAATCCGAAGGAAACAGCAGGAAATTGCCTACGACTATTTAATGAATTTAACGGTGCTGAATAAAGTGCGAAACACGTTTTGGCTTTATAAAATTTGATGAA